TTCTGCCTGCTGAAAATTTTACCACACTTGCCTCTCCTTTTCTCCCCCTCCTCGCCTTTTTCAACAGACAGCTGTTCCTAATTTACATCCCAAATCCAAATCACCAAAGGACTATTATCAATATTACTAAACTTGCTTCTAATATGTGTGTGTGTGTGTGTGTGTATACACGCGCGTGCGTGCACACACACGTATATATGCACACTGGCATAAAAATTAATAGGCCTCTGCAGGAAAGCAAGTCGAATTATAGCCCTGAGCAAATTGTAAGGAAAGAATAAAATGGGAATGCAAACACCTTTGAGGGCAACAGTCCCTCCAGTTGTGGATAAAGGACATCACATTGTCTCGCTGAAAAACCTACTGCCACCTGAGTCCTGGTATAGTTTATACCAGGAGTTCACAGACATTTTAAACAGAGGGCCAGGTCACCGTCCCTCAAACTGTTGGAGGGCCGGATTATAATTTGAAGAACAAAAAACATGAATGAACTGCACATATCTTATTAGTAGTGCAAAAAACACTTTAAAACAATACAATAATTAAAATGAAGAACAATTTTAACAAATATAAACTTATTAGTATTTCAATGGGAAGTGTGGGCCTGCTTTTGGCTGATGAGATAGGATTGTTGTTGTTGTTGTTGTTGTGTACTTTCAAGTTTTTTCAGACTTAGGTTGACCCTGAGTGAGGGCTGGGTAAATTACCTTGGAGGGCCATATCCGCCCCTCGGGCCTTAGTTTGAGGACCCCTGGTTTATGCCATAGTGTTTTCAGCACTCTGCTCTAGCAACTTTCATAAACAGTCAGAAACACTAGACTGAAAGACCAAGGTGATTTCTGTTTCTGAAGGCCTCAATGATCAAAAGAGGCTAAATCCATTTTTGTCAAGTATCATCACTCCCTCAGAATTTGTAAGGTTTGCTAGCTATTGCCTTCAACCTTTGTTAAAATGAAGAAAGGTCTGGGTACTAATATACTCTCTAAATTGTCAGCTGTGCATTACATTTTCTCATCCAGAATAGTAGTAAGTAGTGGATCAACCAGACCTGTGGCATGAAAACTTGGAATCATTGGAATATTTGCCAACATCCAAAGCCTGCTTTTCTCTAGTTTTTGAAGATAGACTCAAGGTAATCAACTCTGACATGTAATTTTGAATCAGTTCTAAAGAGTTTGTCTGAAGGCCAATTTATGTGATCCTAGATTAAAGTGATACCTTGAGTTAAGAGTTTAATTTGTTCCATGACTGAGTTCTTAACTCAACTTGCTCTTATCTCACAGCTAATTTTCCCATGGAAATGCACTGAAATGCTATAAATCTGTTGTCTTCCTAACCCCCCCCATTTTTGTTATGTTTTTAAATAAGAAAATGTACTTTATAAATAACATAAAATATATAAATGTACATTCACATGGAAAAACAAAAAAAGAACAACTTTAAAATGGTAGAAGCACAAAGTTGTCACAAGGAAGCATATTTAAGGCAACAAAATGTGTGTTGTCAGTGTAACATCAAGGCAAAACCTGCAAATTCATATGGAACAATAAAGAAAGATCAGCTTTAAAATGGTAGACGCACAAAGTTGTGGCAAGGACTGGACTTCATACTGGACTCATTCCAGCCTCCCTCCCTCTCTTGCTCCCTCCCTCCCTCTCTCTTCATGAAGCCAAACACACCAGGAATAAAAACCACAGAAAATCAACTAACCCAAAATTCCTTAAAGTGGACAAGAGCAAAGTGGACAGCAATCTCCCAAAGTGGACATGAGCATGAGGCACAGAAGCTGCTTCCTTGAGGCTCTAAAGCCTTGTACTCTTAGGCTGGTGCGCCCTCTGGTATTAGCTCTTAACTCAAAATGCTGCTCATATGTCAAAGCAAAACTAAAGCAGAGTGATGGCTCTTAACTCAAAAAGCTCTTAAGTTAGGATGCAGTTAAGTCGAAGTTCTACTATAATATTCTTGACCTTGTGTCTGTATTGAATCAGGAGTCAGAAAAGTCAGAACACTCTAAAAAGATGTTGCATTTCATGCTTCAAACTTTTGCAATCACAGAAACCCACCCATATAAATGAATAAAATTCTAAAATAATAATTTTGTGTATTGCTAAGGCACGAAAACTCTATTTTGTATTCCTAGCATCCATCAAGAAATAGATCCTCAGTGTGGTCACATAGCACATGCTATTGGTAACTGCAAACCCTTTTCTGGAACTTGGGAATATTTATTTTTTGGAACTGAAATTGGAAATTAAAGTAATGTTGTCATGCTCTGTATCTGTTAATGGTAATTTTTCCAGGCTTTTAGCTTTCTCGCCATATCACCTGATTGCTAAACTCTTTTCCTTTGTGTACATTATTTCTTTATCAGTTCAGACTATACCCACAGCTATTCTTGCTCACCTGCACTCTCCTGATTAATTCTAAATTCAGCTGCTTGTTTTTTAAAGCTCTATATTTTATATGCTCACAGTTTACTTCGTTAACTCCCATTTGCATCAAATTTGTATTTTAGCGTATACCTTTGTTGTCATCTGATACTGCTGCTTTCGTGTTTCATAGAGCTTTCTTTTGCTGCTGCTGAAATGATTCATTAATGAGTTTGAATTTTACATATCCAGTCAGCTGAAATTTGCTATCTCATACAGAATATGAATGGGTGTACTAGTTATCTGACATGCTGAAAGTACCACAGCAGTCTTCACTATAATATTGCATTTGGATAGTGCTGCAATGTTCTATGATGCTGAACCTTCACGTACATTACTTGTTACCATATTGGATTTTGCCTTTCTATAATATAGTGTATTTTGAGACTGGTCCTTTCTGGAAAGTAAACTAAATGTACTCAATAGTATTAGATGATACCATTATCAATATACCTTATATAAGTATGTATCTATGTATGTTTGTATGTATTTTCAAGTTGATTCCCACGCCCAGAGAGTCCTGTGATTCCCACCGACAATGGATCTGGTCCAAACTTAGTGTATGTACTGATCAGGTCCAACTTTGAGTACTGGAGGAGATTCGGGGGGGGGGGGGTTATAGTTCACCCATATGAGAAGAGCACTGTGAATCCCACAGATAATGGATCTTGACCAAACTTGGCACACACATGCATCACGACTGTCATAAAATACTGGGGGGGGGGGGGGGGGGTGTCCACATCCTTATGTATTTTTAATGGAACCATTCATAAAATCCAAAACCAGACAATGACTATTCATAATATTTATCCTTACAAAACACCTAACCCAGGTATCGCCAGATACCAAAGCTAGTATTAGCTACAAATATAAAATATAACAGTACAATATGAGTTAGACGTGGGATGTCTGTTCAAAGCATTTAAGCGTGGATTTAACTCAGAATTTCCCTGGGTTGGCAACAGATAGAGTATTCATCCTGAAGTCAATTGGTTCAGCTGAAGACCTCTCTGTCCATCTTGTTCTTTTTTTCACAATCCCAACCAAAAACTGTCATTCAACATCCCATTGCACTCACCTTAACCATCCCTCCTCTGAGTTTCCACCTTCAAACACCATCCCCAAATATGGGTCATTACGACAATATATTGGCTGCTAAAACATTCTTATACCCAATGCAAAACCTGTCACACAAATTCAAAAATTTAGATACTAGCTAGAATCCTGCTGATAATGCATGTATCTGTAAGTCACAATGCATGTGACTAGCATTTGAGAACATATCGTCCCTAGTTATCAATGCCCAGTCACTAGGTCTCCTGATAATATTTCGTTCTCTGCACTTCATCCAATACCCTGGCCCTATGGTATGCTGTTTTTGCATGATCCCATGCCAGGCCCTGGCCATGTCCATTGTATTACTGGTTGTTGGTTTTGTTGAGCATTGTTTTGTTTCAACATTGCTGTTTTGTATTCTTATGTTTTGTTTAATTGTGTTTTTATATGGATTGTTATATTTTACTATGTTCTTTTTTTAGTTGGTGGTTTTGCTTTAATGGATTGTTTTACTTTTATATTTTGTGGGCATTTTGACCCAATATGTAAGCTGCCCTGAGTCCTTTTGGGGAGATGATGGTGGGGGATGAGAATAAAGTGACTTGGACAGTTTTGTAACCTCCGTATCCAGTAAAGGGCAACTATTACATTACTATGGGGTGGGGGAGGTTAACAAAGTGATCGGCCTGATCTTTTAAAATTTGAACAGCAACAGCACTTAAGTTTCATACTATCCTTTTAGCATCAGCCTTGTGACATCACTTGGGCCCACCACTGTGACACCACAAAAGGCTGTCTTCCTGAGATCTCCGTTATCAGCCCTGGAGTCTTAGCACTCATGTAGGTTCCGGCGAGGCAATCCTAATAGGAAGGCATTGGAGGAAAGTGTTGTGTGAGCCACACAGCTTACTGTGCACCCGCTTAGCTGTCCTACTGCTCTCCAGTACAACGGAAGGCACTGCTCCATCACTGTTATCAATTCAACTGCAAGTCCAATTGGTATTTGTCCACGGGATGGGGGAAGACATCATTTTGTTACTAGTTCCAAGACATCCTGCTCCATCCTTCAATAAGCCTCCAGTGACAAAATCTGAGTGTTCCTCTTTGCTATAAAGGGAACGGAACAATAAGAAAGTTCTGAAAATGCCCTACACATTGCATTTTGCTACTACAGTGCTTCTCTGGTTGCTTATTACAACCCCTTTCAAGTGCATTTACTTCTTCTAAGTGGTCATCATAAATGCCTGCCTAATGCGCCAACACAAAGGTGGGTGTGAAGTAGAAGGGAAAAAATAATTGTATAGGGAAGAAAAAGGGTGCACTGGCTTGCTTGGTCTGTCCCTTGCCCAAATTCTTATTTTAATGTTAATGTTATTTAAAAAATGAATACATTCCAGCACCAGTTCTTTGCACCCAAGGCTTTCACAGTTCCAAAAAGAAAAAAAGGCACCTCTATTATTTGCAGGCCATTTGGTAGTGGTTGCCATGGAGATGAAAAGCAAAATAGCATGCAAATCAACACAAGCCCCGGCGTTCAATAACAACCTTAAAAGGGCAGCCGGATAAGACGACAGAAATCACTTGAAATGCTTCAACCTGCTCTGCTAGCTGTGATTAGATCTAAAAGGGAAAGAAAAATACCCTAATGGATTATAGAAGAGACGAAAGGAGTCGGCTGGCAATGGGGTGCAGCCTGTGTGATTACTTGACACACAGGCACACGCTCACTCTGGCCTGGCCTCCACCAAGGAAAGATACAGCCAAATGCACAAAGGTACCAAAATTGGTCAAATAATTCAGCTTCAATGCATACATTTGAAATTTCTCTTTATTCCCATAACTTAAAGCATGCAAAATGTTAATAATTACATTTTGGGAAATTCTGTATTTTGATTTTCTTCTTGGTTGGGGGGAGGGCTTAAAATATGCATTCTATTTTTTTCCTATAAAGACAAGCACAGATGAGAAACTCATACACACCTAAGGAATGTGTCACCTTGGCTAGATCTGGCATCTCAAGACCAGGTACACTTGGTGCACAAGTTTTAAATGTCCAAAAATATTCCTAGGACCTCATCACACTAGAGAATGAATCCACTTAAAATCCAGTTGCTGCCTCCTGCAGAATTCTGGGGTTTGTAGTTTAGGCAGGAGCCTTTAATAGCCTCACTAAACTACAACAGGGAGCTCTGGTGTGGGCTAGTCCATGAGATCACAAAGAGTCGGAAGCGATGGAACGAATAAACAACAACAAGACAAACTACAAACCCCAGAATTCTGCAGGAGGCAGAAACCAGATTTTAAGTGGATTCGTTCTCTAGTGTGATGAGGTAGCTAGCTATCACAGAAACTTCTTCATTGAGGTTCAAAACTGAATCCAGGAGTACCCCCAAACTGTGAGGCCGCATCTTCTCTGATCTTCCTTTTGACTATCTAGGAGCACCTCTGTTCTATCTGCATTAAGTTTCAACTTGTTTGCCCTCACCTTGTCCACTGCTGACGACAAGCACCAGTTTGAAACCAAGATAGCCTGCTTGGATTTGGATGGAAAAGAGTAGTAGAGTTTAATGTCATCTAGATATGGCAACTTGTTTGATTCTAGTAGCTGCTCCCTGAATCTAGACCAATTCCCTCATTGCTCTTTATTGGGCAGACAAGGTGTTTGCTGTTAAAGCAACCAATATAATACATAGGCAGGCATGTGGTAAAACCAGGTAACAACTCTTGCTTCTGCTGGGCAGAATGATAGGTTCTTATCCTCATTTACCCTCAAATGGCCTCCTGTCACCCCCTTTGCCAGTAACCTCACCAGTGGAAGACCTGCTCCAACAAGAGTCCTGCTTGGGCAGATGTGCTGGATGGTGAGCTGTCCCTGCAAAGAGCCAAGTCTTACTAGTGAAGCAGAGATTCAACGCAGCAGCAACAAGCAGCAGTTTCTTCCCCTCTATAGATTGCAGAGGGTCATTGTGGTCTTCAGTAGGGATATGCTTTTATCAAGCCCACACAGTGTGTAAGAGTTTGAATTCTCAAAAGCTCCTAGTCTAGATGGAACAAAGTAGGGGGTTCGGGAAGAGAGCAATAGCAAAATTAATACAAATCTTGCATTTAATGTTGTAATTCTAAACTTAGCATGTAGATGACAAATGGGAATTGTGTGGCTTTTCAGATGTTGTTGGATCACAAGTCTTATCACTTTTTGCCATTAGCTGTGCTGCTATTTAGGGTTGCTGGGAATTGCAGCGCTATACCATCTGGAGGCCTTCTCCATTCCCATCTTTGATTTTGGAGTCAAGATTTTGGAGTCTTTGATTTCAAGATGGAGATTGTAGACTGAAATATTTTTTTCTAGTTAAAGATGTTACAACTAAGATTCTAGGATAAAGAAGCATTGTCTGACCAAAACTCCAGAAAGTTTAAAGACCTGCTGTTACCCAGATGTTTCTAGCCTTGGTGAAACACATGGTCTGTTAATTAGGCAGCATTTCTGGTTCAGTTTATTGCCCTTGCTATTCTTAAAACTGGCCTTTTTATAGATGTGTATGAAAAAAACAGCAAAATTGTAAAGATACATTTTTGAAATGTCAATATGTCTGTGCTTAATGGCGAGGTGGCTTGTGTGTTCCAGTGAATCTATTACTCCTCTGTTATGCCAGCTCCACTGGCTGCCAATCTGATATCGAGCTCAATTCAAAGTGCTGGTTTTAACCTTTAAAGCTCTACATGGTTCTGGCCCAGACTACATGTCTAAACATATCTCCTGCTACAAATCATCATGAAGTTTGAGATCATCTGGAGCGGCCCTGCTCTCGATCCCACCAACATTGCAAATGCGATTGGTAGGGACGAGAGACAGCGCCTTCTCAACAGTGGCCCCCCCAGCTGTGGAATTCCCTCTCCAAAGACATCAGATTGGCCATCTGCCTCCTGTCCTTTACAAGGATACTCAAGGCTTGTCTGTGGGCCCTTGTGTTTGACATTGAATAGCAGCTTGTATGAAGAAGACATAAGCAATTTTGAAGTGACAATGAATTGACCTGGATCCAAATTTTAATTGGCATGTTTTAACAACTGCTTATTTAATGTTTTGTTTTAATGAATTTGTTGATTGTTGTTATCATTATGATGGCACTGAGTGATATTTGCTGTGAGGCCGCCCTGAGTCCCCCCTCAGGGGTGAGAAGGGTGGGGTACAAGTATATGAAATAAATAAATAAATAAATATGAAGGAAGCCATGAGTGTCATGTACTCCCAGTGGGGTCTTCTATGGCAGTGGGGCCATAGGAGAGAAACCAGGCAAAGAACAATATGAAGACCTCATTGGCGGAGCAGGCGGATGATAACATGGTACATGCTACAACAGCTGTGACAGGAGACAAAGGCTGTAACAGATGAGGGGCTACTAGTCCCTGTGCTAACCATACCATTAGATCAAAACTTCTATCTGTGAAGACTGTGTTTTGGTTGCTATGCACCGATCTCCCCACATAAAACAAATTTGTGCATTGGTGTCTTCCAAGAAAAACCAAAACCAACAAAAGTCCCATGTGATCAATGAGTGGTGATGGGGGCAGGACCATGAAATCTGGAAGTTCCTAGTTGTAGACTAGCACAAGGGTGGTGGATATGGATTCAGTTGTTCTAACTCAAGGTTTGAGGCAGTTGAACAGTTCCACGACTCAGCAGTCCTATTAAGGATCCAGTCTGCTCACCCCATATGGGGAGGGGGCTAGAAACATGCCCTAAACATAATCTGTCTCTTATTTATCCCTGACTGAACTGCCACATCCAAAGGGGTCACCACCTTGCAGTCAAAAAAGACAAATGAATTTTGGAAAGTGGAACATATGGACACTGCTGGATAACACAGACAATGAACATCCAGAATGCATTACTGATCTTGAGGTGTTTTAACACTGATATAGCAGTATTCCAAGAGACCAGAGCAGGATAGGGACAGCTGTAGGAAGGAACAGCAAGCCACACCTTCTTCTGGAAGAGACTCCCTGAACAAGAGTGACAAATACATGGAGACACTTTGCTATTAGAAACAACCTGGTGAAGCTTCTGTTTGAAGCACTCATCAGCATTTATTTATTTATTTTATTTATTTATTTACTCCATTTGTATACCGCATTTATCAGCCTGGAGCGGCGACTCAATGCGGTTTACAGTAAAAATAAACAGTGAACAATAAATAAGACGCACATCGACAAACAATACACATAATCATCAACGCCTACTTAGAATCAGATCCCGTTCTCATAGTCCTTAATTCAATCCTTGTTCAATGCCGTCATTATTGGGTGGTTGTTACTGCATAGCTAACCGAATGCCTGCTCATAGAGCCACGCATTAACAAATAACTCTCATCCCTACAAATTAATCTTGCCAAAAAAAGCAGACAAGTACCATCGGTTCCTGCACACCAACACTAGACGCTGTTGAAGGAAAATTTCTGCTGTCAGCTGGGTACAATCCTGTCTGAGATACCTAAGAAGGTCAACATTCTTCTCTTGGGTGATTTTAATGGAAAATTGGAGGAGATTTCAAACCGTGTCCAGGGACTATATGGAAAGATGGGGTTAAAAACAGCAACCTTAATGGCATTTTAATTTTTACCAAATGTGCAGAACACAGTTTTGTCATCAAATACACTCTTCCACCAGAAAAATAAGGCACTGCCTGTAATCATTTGACTTGCCCAGGATCTTGATCGAACAACTCTTTCATCTAACAGAACACTTTCCCTGTGACTAAAAATCATTCTCAAAGTGAACCTAGTTTAATTTGGGGGGTAGGAATCAACTGTTGATAGATTTACCACACACTTGATATGGGATTCACTGGACACTTCAGTGTCTACTAAACATACCAGTTAGATTTTGGGTAAGGCTGGGTATCCAGCTAGTGTGACAAAGAAGGTATTCAATCAATTTTAATTGCTGGAACTACTTTCAAACCCAGCTTTAAAAAATAGCCTGCAATTCCCTCCTAAATATTGATTCTCAATTCCAGTTTTTTTCTCTGCCACAGAAATTTGCACACATCTTTTGCCCCCACTTTTTTGAGTAGCATCTCCTAGAATTTCTCAGCTAACCTAACTCTTTTGAACTCTGTAGTACTGAGTTTCTAATCTTTTTTATGGTGAATCTAGTCTCTTGCATAAATAATTTGAAATCACTTACCATCTCAGTAAACCATATCCAGAGTTCTTGTCCAGAAGACACATATACCTATACTTTCTTTTTAAAAATAAGAAAAGGATAGAAAGTAGGTTTTCTTCAAAGGTTTGACAGATATGTATTCGTGGGAAATGATGAATCCTTCCAGGATAAACAGACATATATTTATTCCATTCAATGAACCAGAGGGGATGAATGCCATTCAAAGGTGTTCTATACACAAGAAAGGACAACATATAGAATTTGTACTATTCATCTTAACTAGGTGCGATCCTTGCATTAACCCTGAGGCATAATCCTTGAATTATCCATTCAAAATCCTTAGCCCTTTGTTACAGGGAACCTTTGTTAGAACTGCATTCATCTTATCTGTCTCCAATACAAATTCTTCATAAGGTAGTATGTTTTGAAACATCACAATTATCTCATGCCAAAGCAATCTTAAATCACCCAGTGCCGTTCCATGCATTTATTCACGAGTTGTTCTGTTCGGTTGTCCCATTTTCCACATTACAGTTAGCAGTGTGCCCTACAAGTGCATCTTCAAAAAAGGAGGAGGAAAAAGATGACCCAAATAATCACTGCTTCAAT